GAATACGCTATAAGTAGTGTATCAAATGTGGTCGACAAAAATGAGAGAGAGGGACCGTGGGAGTCGGCCAATCTCCCTCTTATTTTCTCTCTCATTACACCATTGAATGGAAAGAGATAGAAATGGCCGTCTGCCACGGTCCCTCTCTCTCATCCCTATCCAGTACCGTCTTTAGGCATGGGCCCGATGGACCCGGGCCCAGGGCCCCGTGTTAAAGAGGGCCCCACTATTAAGCCAAAAAAGTAAAAGCAAAACAAAACATTTCCCAATATAATGCAAAAAAAATTGCTAATATGAATTTTAAGTTTTCGCGCGGCGCGTGCCATACTGCGCTTCATGTCTCCGCTTGAAGGTGCAATTACATGCCAAGCGTCGAGCGTTGAGCGTCAAGCAGCAGATTTCGTTGATTGGTTGCTAGTAAATTTTGGGCAAGCAGCAGCCAATCAATGAAGTCTGTTGCTTGATGCTCGACGCTCGACGCTTGCACGTAACTACACCTTGAAAATCACACAGAGTTTTTATGCTTTGTTTATTTCAGCCAATAGGGTTGTCTTAGCTGAAATCTATTTCTCCAAAATCGAATTCTCATTGGTTAAAATCTAAGATTTTAGAATTAAAACGCCATTCACAATGTGATTCGACTATTCGCATGGATCGCCAAAATCTAGTAATTTCCTATATCGCATTTACGCACTCATGTAAATGCTGCCTAATTGCTATGGACTTTGAGGTGTTTCTCCTTACTTCGTTCTAACTAGTCATAACAATTAACAATTCCGAAGTTGGTTGAAAAATGCAAATGTGCAAATGTACTGAATAGCTGAATAATCACAAAGTATATACATAATAACATAGCGTTGAAAAAAAAAATATTTCTTCGTTAAAGTGTCGTTTTATATTAGTTGCAGTTTTTAAGATTTTCGGCTCAGAAATAAAAATCAATTACATAACCAATTATGTCACAACGTTCATATCCCAGTGGCTCATTGAAAAGAAAAAAAGCAGCTCGTCAGAAGGAATTCATTGACAAATTACCAAAATTAACCTCATTTTTTGTACCTGAAAACGAACCTAACCTCCCTCCTTCATTGGATCACAGTTCTCCAGACGAGCAGGAAAAAAATACAGGAACATTAATTGTATGTTAAGTTTTTTATGCTATATTTATTTAAAAGAGATATTTAATTATTATCATTACCATGCTATCATAATTAAAAAATTCTTGAGGCTACCATTTATACAATTTTTTTCGTTATTTAGATTTTTATCGTTTAAAACATCATATTTTTTAACTTTATTTTTAACTTTTAATTATTAGGTATTACCCAATCCTGAAATAGACCATACCCAATCCTCACTTAAAAATATGTCACACAATCCCGGCGATTGGGCTGCTGCATTTACAGAAGAAATCCGTTTATTTTGGATCAAAAAAGGACCTGAGTTTTTCCAAAATAAAGATAATGATTTTTTAGAGACTGCTTGGAGTTATAAAGAAGCAAATGATAAAGTAAAAATAAGACACTTGAATAAGTCCGCTTTCGTCCGCACCCTACAGAATGGCGAGAAAGTTAACAGAAAATGGCTCCTGTATTCTCCTTTGAAAAAGTCAGTATATTGTTTTTCCTGCTGCTTTTTCTCTTCTTCAAATGCAAGTTTCAGTTCGTCAGGTGGATGTAATGATTGGAAGCATATAAAAAAACTTATTTTGGAACATGAGAATAGTTTAGCGCATAGGGAATCTATGACGACTTACATCATAAGAAGCAAAACTGTCGGTACAGTAGATAGTGACTTGCGTTCTCAATATAACATAGAGATTGGCTATTGGAAGGCTGTCTTAAAAAGGATCGTTAGTGTTATCAAATTTTTGGCTTTAAGAGGTTTTGCATTTCGTGGTGATAATCAAACCATTGGATCACAAAGCAATGGAAATTATTTGGGATGTCTAGAATTATTGAGTCAATTCGATCCCTTTCTTTCAGAACATATTAAAAAATATGGAAATGCGGGGATAGGAAATCCTTCATATTTATCAGCTAATATTTGCAATGAATTTATCAATGCTATGGGAAAACAAGTTCTACATAAAATTTTAGCTGAGTTAAAAACTGCAAAATATTACTCAATTAGTGTCGATTCTACTCCTGACTATTCCCATATAGATCAGATGACTTTTATCGTTCGATATATAAAAGACGGAACACCAGTTGAAAGGTTTTTAGCGTTTATACATATTAAAGAGCACAAAGCAGAATATTTATCAGAAACAGTTCAGACGTTTTTGGATAAGTACGGAGTTTCTTTAAAGGATTGTCGTGGACAAAGTTACGATAATGCGTCGAATATGACAGGACAGTATTTAGGTCTACAAGCAAGAATTAAAGAGAAATGTGAATTTGCCATTTTCGTACCCTGTGCGGGACATTCCTTGAATCTGGTAGGCGTTCATGCTGCGGGGTGTGTTGTAGAAGCTACAAATTTCTTCGGATTCGTTCAAAAAATATACAATTTTTTTTTCCACATATCGCTGGGAAATCATGAAACGATGCTTGGGTTCGAACAAAATTCTTAAATGCCTTTCTGATACCAGATGGTCCGCTCGTGTTGACGCAGTTAGCGCCTTACAGAAAGGTTACAAACAAATTTTGGAAGCCTTGATAATAATTGCTCAAGATACGAATCAACCTGGAGAGACCAGATATGAAGCTCACAGTTTATCTAAAAAAATGAATAAACTAGAAATTGTTATTTTAACAGAGATGTGGAGCAGTATATTATCAAGAATCAACAAGACAAATATTGCCCTTCAAAAAAAGGACCTAACATTGGATATTGCGACGAAGTTGTTGACTTCTCTCGTTGATTTTTTTGATAACGTGAGGAATGAATTTGACCAGTACGAATTTACCGCTAAAGAGAAATTCCCAGATGCTGACTACAAAGATGTATCGCAACGTGCAAGAACTCGAAGCTCTCGTATTACTTTCTTTGATGGACCAACAGAGAATGTGAGTCTTACTGGTAAAGAAAAATTCAAAGTGGAGACTTACTTACCAATAGTTGATACATTAATTACTCAATTAAATAAACGATCTGCTTCATACAACGAAATCAACCAACGGTTTGGATTTTTTTCTCGTCTAAAAATAATTAGTTCACCTGAACTGCAGATCAGTTGCAAAGAATTTGCTAAATTTTATCATTATGACGTCAATGCAGAAGAACTCAAGTTGGAATGCATATATTTAACTCAATATTTGCACAAAGCCGATATTTTGACCAATGAAAATGGAGAGATGCAAATTTCAGAATTATATAAACTACTGCAAAATGACAAAATTGAAGATACTTTTCCTAATATTGCAATATCGTTTAGAATTTTTCTTTCCCTCATGGTTACCAATTGTAGCGGCAAACGCTCTTTTTCCAAACTAAACCGAATAAAAAATGAAATTAGGAGTTCTATGACCCAGGAAAGGTTGAACTATTTATCGTTGATGAGTATCGAAAGTGATGTATTAATGAAGTTGGACTTTGAGGAAGTAATTGAAGATTTCGCTCGTCAAAAATCAAGAAAGAAGCCACTATAATAAATGTTTAATGAAAAAGGTTGCCAATTATACGTATACA